AAAAAGGCTTCAGTTAGGTCACCGCGAGATCCATTTTAGCAGAATGGTGTGGACAAGATCCAAAATGAAGAGGATTAAGAAAAGAATAGGGCGCCTGGGTGGCTCAGTCGTTGAGCGTCTGCCTTCGGCTCAGGTCCTGGTCCCAGGGTCCTGGGATCGAGCCCCGCATCGGGCTCCCTGCTCGGCGGGAAGCCTGCTTCTCCCTCTCCCCCTGCTTGTGTTCCCTCTCTCGCTGTGTCTCTCTCTGTCAAATAAATAAATAAAATCTTAAAAAAAAAAAAGAAAAGAATAAAAATGTTACAAATTGAGATGCTATCTATAGCAACTCTAGGGAAACTTGCTTGTAAAATAAAGAGGAAGAGAGAGGAAGTAAGTAGAGGAAGACAGAGCCAATGAAAAGTGTTTTTTTCCAATTTACATGGAATGTATTTAGAAGTTTAAAAACATTTCTTTTCTCTACTACTTAGCAGCCCAATCTCTCCAACACCATTTATGAAAAACAAAACAAAACAAAACAATTCCTCCCCATTTATAGCAATTTCTCCTTAAGAGTCATACATTATTACAGATGATGGTTTCTGGGCCATTATTCAGTTTTGGTTAGCTGTCCATTCTTGCACCCATAACACCTAAATGTAGTAATAATAAACAAATAATAATAAAACACCTGGCAAAAGCTCCCCCCCCTTGCTCTCCTTTTTCAAAATGTTCTTAGCGATACTTGCCTGACCTCCTATTACGCGCATTCTTTTTAGAAAGTCATATTCACTTATTTAAGTTCTATTTTAACATAAAACAGTAAAGACCACCACTTAAAAAAATGTATATGTAAAGTAAGAGGTTCAAGTCTCAACTCCCACCCTCAACACACCACCCACCTAAGTTCTAACTCCAGAGGTAAGTACTAGTCAGGACTTGCTGCCCACCTGTCTGGTAGGTTCCCGAGTTTATGCCCACAACCTACATGTAAATATATGTTCGGGGAAATGCTTCCAAATGTCCATCCCCCAAGGAGAGATTGGAGGGCATGACTTAGCTCCCTCCACCTCTCTCTTACTTCCTTCTACCACCCAACAACACTCCCTCCCCACCACTCTTACTTTAGAAGTCTGACCATTTACGCTGCTAGGCTTTGCCTTCAGGGGTCTTACTTTAAATCTAAACCTAAAGGTCTCTACACATATACCCAAATTAAATGATCACTTTACCTGCCCACTGGGATGAGATCTTTAACAGATGGGTATGTCTTCCAACCCTTCCCATCCCCACCCCCTTCAACTCATGGATTTAGTTAAGATGATAGGAAACTTGAATGTGGTCATTTAAATTTTTCCTTAAGAATGGGTATGATGGGGCGCCTGGGTGGCTCAGTTGGTTAGGCGACTGCCTTCGGCTCAGGTCATGATCCTGGAGTCTTGGGATCAAGTCCCACATCGGGCTCCCTGCTCAGCAGGGAGTCTGCTTCTCCCTCTGACCCTCTTCCCTCTCGTGCTCTCTATCTCTCATTCTCTCTCTCTCAAATAAATAAATAAAATCTTAAAAAAAAGAATGGGTATGATGGACACCCTAGGGGGACCCTCAATGAGTCACACCCTTCCCTTGCGTGTGAGCTTTGAAACAAGAGCATCCAGCAAAAGTTAAGCGATTTTGAAGGTGCAGTTAACGTCCCTAATCGGTTCAATTTGTGTTGATCTCAGGGGGGCCAGACCTAATTAGGTGATATTTTTAGTGGGTGCAGTCTTCCCTCCTGAAGTGAGAGACATGAAACAGCACAAGCTCTCTTTCATATCCCTTTCACTGCTACCTTTCAAGGAGCAAGCTGCCATGAATTCTACAGCCACAAGGTTATGAATTCTGCCAACAACTGGAGGGAACACAGAGGTTGACCCTTTCCTATTCAAGCCTCAGATGAGAACTCAGTTCAGCCAACATCCTGATTCCAGCCTTGTGGAACCCCAAGCAGGGAGTCCACGAAGACATGCCTGGACCAAAGGAACCGTTAGCAACTAAAAGGGTATCGTTTCAAGCCACCACTTCGTAGTGATTCATCACACAGCAGAACTAATTGGTAAAGCAGGTGTAACTTGTTTTCAGAAGACTTCTCTTCACCATTAAATTACCGTCCACAATCACTTTAATATCATCTATTTAGGTTTATCCCTGCATTTAAAGGAGTCTGTTCAACGCTCTTCTTCCTGTTCTCTATCTTCCCCTATCTAGTTATATTTGTTCTGATTTAGGTCCAGCTGAGTGAGAATACTTTTTAAAATGATTTTCTTAGAAAGGGGACATGGTGTTATGTTTTCTGTATCCTTAAATGTGCGAAATGTCTTTCTTTTGCCCTCAAATGTAAGGACTACCTGTCCTTTGCACTGAGCAGCCTGAAACAGTGCTCCACTATTGCTTAGTTTCATTACAGAGAGGAGAAGGTCAGTGCGGATTTGATTCTTTCTTTTGTATGTAACTTGCACTCCCTGTTGAAGACTCTTATGAACAAAAAAATTTCTCTTCATCCTTAGATTTAGAAATTTTACTAGGAAATCTCAAATGGTGTATCATCTCTTTCCTTAGCCCCTCTAGCGTTCTGCAAGCCCTATTCATTCTATTTGAAAACCAGTTTTCTCCAGCTCATAGACTTCTCCTTCCAGTAATTAGTTGATTCTGGTTTTATTTCCATGTGTTCCTTCTTCCTCTGAGCATCCACCATCCAGACGGAAACAGAGCTCCTGGATCTTCTCCCCACATTTCCTATCTTGTCAGTCAGGATTTCCCTTTCCTCATATTTTCACTTCCACCACAAAATAGTTCCTCTTTTGGCTTTTCCAGATCCAGATTCAAGTTTGGGTAATATATATTACTTTCTTCACTCCCTCCCTGGAGTGGTTGGAGTTGTTGGTTATTGTTGCAATTTCATTTTTATTTTCTAGATTATTTTCCCTTTTTGATTTGCTGAGACAGGCTCCCCGTACTGGCCAGGGTGAAGGTTGCCAACGTCAGGCAGAGACAGATGCCGCTGGAGACTCCCCTCCAGTGCTAGACAGGCCGGCCAACTGGTAACCCTGTATACTAGGGCACAGAGTGGAGGCCTCCCAGTTTGGGAGGCTCAGGGCTCTCCAGGAATGAATAGAGACCATTTTCTCTCAGCCATACAGAAAATAAAGGACCGGCTCAGCCCAACTGTGCAGTTATATTAGAGGGCAGCCAGTCTCCATGAGATCTGTAGCTACCCCACCCCGCAGCTCATTAGGTCACATGGAGCACATTCACAGCATATACTTCCTCTTTGTAAACTGAGGGTGCTTGGAGCTCTGCTAGCCATTGATTCGGTTCTCCCCTAACCTTGTGGTGTGCAAAGGCTCCCAACACCTGCCTCCTCTCCTTGAGAATCCATGTCCTCTGGTATGTTGGGATATCCTCCAGAGTCACTTTCCTTCTTGGGTCATCCCTCACAGAGAGTCAGTAACTGATGGAGGCAAGTCCCAGAAAGACAGAAGGGGCGGAATTTAGAGTATATATAGAAGGATCAACATATGTATCTGTGGCTCATGGTGTGTAATTGTATTTGTTACTGCTTAGGCACGAGAGCCTGAGCAATGCCTCAAAGATAGGAAAATTGTATCATCAACGGAAGAACTCGGAATTTTTAATTTTCGAAGCACATCCACTACTGATTTTGTCATTGAAGAATTTCAAAATGTCAGTAAACATCACTGTCTTTGCTTTATACTGACAAAATAAAGACTGGTCAGCTTAAGAGTTTACTCCCAGCTCAGCAGGAAGCCCGTGGCACGATTAGGCTGAGCTACTTAGGTCTCCTGACTCACTGCTCCTTTATTCTTCTTTCCAGAATTGACCAGACTCCCTATTTCTCAATACTCTGAAAACCCTGGAATGAAATCCACATGAATGAAGCCAGCCCATCTGCCCTTGCAGAAATGGTGGACTTTGGCTCTAAATGGGCATCACACTGGGAGAGAAGAAGTAGATCTACTGAACATAAAGCAAACACTTGGCCCAGCCTCATCCCTTCCAGCCAGAGAGACCAGATCAAGTTCATCCATGTGGCCTACACACCCTGAAGGCCCACCAAAAAGACCACTAAATAACGGTGGGTCCATCCAATGAGAAAGAGCAGCAGCTGCAAGGCCAGGTTACCAGGCAGATGGATGGTATCAAGTAAGCAGTGCTGGGAGCCAGAGGTTAAATGAAATGGCTATAAATAGAGCCCACAGAGGCATTACAAAAATCTAAACCCAGCCCTGAAGTTGTGGCTTAGAGAAATGTGCGCAGCAGCTGATAAACACGATTTCCTGGCGTGGTGCCGTCCAAGGGTGTCTGGGCTTAGAATGGAGCCACACCATTGAGCCCACTGGGGAGGCAGAAGAAAGGGCATTAGGGACACGCTGGCTGGGCTTCTGAGGGACACCACTGCCACCTCACAGGGTTATTGGGAGGACTGTGTGAGTTCATGCACACGAGGGCTTAGAACAAGGTCTGCACACTATAAACACTCTGTCGATGTCGGCTGTTTTTCCAGAGTGACTTTGACATGCATCCACTCCAATGAGCTAACATTTCCCTTGCAACTGACTCATTTAATGAGAATTAACTTTTTTCCAACATGTGAGATTCCACCTGCATCCTCCACCAAGAGCACAATATCCTGTCTCTGCCCAGCGAGCCCCACAGCCCTGTCCTTCGATCAATGTCTGACGGGGCACTTAGGCTCACTTCTTACCATCGGCTTTGTACACATTCAACAGAGAAAAGAGCGAGGATAGAGGAAGAAGGAAAGGGCAGGAGAGAGATTTCTCAGTTTATCCAGAGGAAACCCCAGACTTGCTAATTGCTCGCTTCGGTCCCATAAATCTTCGCATCTCCAGCATTTGGGTTTTACCCTGAATAATGTAATGCTCCAATTAGAGGTTTATGCATTTGAGTTGAGAAATCCGTGACGTCATTTAGGCCACTCGGGCATAAGAAGGCTGAGAGGTGCTCACCTTTGTATTCCGCCAGGCACACGCACTCATAGCCGTTAACGAGGTCCCTGCAGGTGGCGGCGTTCAGGCAAGGGGCAGAGAGGCACTCGTTATATTCCTCCTCACAGTAGAGGCCGTGGTAACCTGAAGGGCAGAGAGAAAGGCCTGTGGTCAAATGGGTTCCATTTAAACGCACGCCGGACAGCTTACAAGAAAGGTGGCGGGGTCGGCATGGGAAGAGCGGGACAGACAGACGGGATTTCAGGAGTTGGGTCCCCTGGGGTATAATTGAAATGTGGCTTTCTGGGAAGGCTAGGAAGAATGTGTTCTCATCACCTTTTTTCAGGATCCCAAGTATAAAAGGAATGATCCCATTTATCCACCAGATGGTCTCATTACTACATTAGTAGTGACCCGGAGACCGGGGTCACGGAGTGCATCGGCTGTGGCCACAGGAGACAGGGATGATCCCAGTGGGGTTGACAGCATGGAAGCAACAGCTCCTTTCAAAGATGTGGACCACTCCTCCTCCAATCAGAAAGCCATATCTAGCAACTAAAGAGAATTTTATTAAAAGAGAAAGGGATCCGTTATTTCCTTTGCTCTTCAGGTCAAGAAGAAAGTCAGCTAAAAAGGCTTCACTGAAATTCCTGATAAAATGTGGGGTAATTCTTTTTAATTTAAAATTGTGATTTGCTTGGGGCATCTGGGTGGCTCAGTTGGTTGAACACCTGATTTCAGCTCAGGTCATGATCTCAGGATCCTGGGATCGAGCCCCGCAATGGGCTCTGTGCTCCACGGGGCATCTGCTTGTCCCTCTCTCTCTGCTCACTCTCTCAAATACATAAATAAAATCTTTAAAAACATAAAAGAACTATTATCTCAATTATAATATTTTAAATTGTACTTTAAAATTCGAGTTGTTAAAAATAAAATAAGAGCAATGAAGAAAGAGAAACCAACAGTTTCCCAGTAAAGATGGCTTTTACTCCGTTTGCAACACAGGTGTTTATTCTAAAGGACAAGAAGACAACATTCTTTGAGATTCACTCATGAATGTTATACTGTTTTTAACTTTCAAAAACATGCGTCAGTGCCAATTTGCAGTGAAACCAAGCCATTTTTTTTTCTGGCCCTGTCCAAACAATGAGAAACACGTGAGTGCTTTCAAAAATCACCCTGCCTGTGTCAGTTCTGAATTCAGATAAGCAGAAAAAATAAACCCTTGCTCAAATGAGAACTAGAACTACTAGGTTTTTTTTTTCCAGCTTTCCAACTCACAGCCAACCCTCAAACTCAGAAAGTTCCATTAGTACATGCTAATGTGTCGAACTGTTTTCTTTCTCGTGCCTATTGCAAAAGTAGGCTAAGCTCCTATCTGCAGTATTAACAGAGTACTTTTTTCAAGTTTGTTGCCATTTCAGTTGTTTCTGAACTGCTTTCCAATATTAGACAGTGATAATGGCCCCTCTGAGGAGACCTTGACCTACCGGAGACAAACAAGCCATGGTTTTCAATTCTTCCATCTTACCTTACTTTTTGTAATTTTAGGGAAATACTTTTTATTTCCCTTCATCAGTATTTTGATCATCTAGATGGGAGTTTCTCAACTGACAGCAATTTTGCCCCCAGAATTTGGCAATGTTTGGAGACACTTTTGGTTGTCACAACTAGGGTGGAGGGGAAGGAGCCTGCCACTGGTATCTAGCATCAGGATGCTACTAAACATCCTGGGAGGCATGGGACAGCCCTCCATGACCACTGCCCCCCAAAAAAAGATCCAGCTAAAATGCTAACAGAGTCAGATGGAGAACCCTGCTCTAGTTTAAGGATCAGCAAACTCTGGCTCACAGGCCAAATCCATCCCAGTCTGGTTTTGTAAATAAAGTTTTATTGAGACACAGTCACACTCATCCATTTATGTATCGTCTATGGCCGTGTTCCCACTACAACAGCAGCCTGAGTAGTTGCAACAGAGACCATATGGCCCGTGAAGCCCAAAATCCTTACTAGCTGGCCTCTTAGAGAACAAGTTTGCTGACTCCTGATCTGGGTTCAACAGAAAATCTTTCTTTTTATGAGTTTTGGACATTAACTCTTTATCAAATAGATGGCTTGCAAGCATTTTCTCCCATTCCATAGTTGGCTTTTATTAAGCAATTTATTTATTGCTTCCTCTGCTGTGTTGTTTTTTAGTTTTAGCCCCACTTGTCTATTTTTGCTTTTGTTGTCATATCCAATAAATCATTGCCAAGACCAATATTATGAAGATTTTCCCCCTATGTTTTCTTCTAGGAGTGTTACAGTTTCAGGTCTTACATTTAAGTCTTTAATCCATTTTGAGTTGTTTTTTGTGGAAGGCGTAAGAGAATACAAGTAGCCAAGAGGTTAGAAGATGCTCAACACCACCAATCAGCAAGGAAATGCAAATCAAGACCACGATGAGATATCACATCACACCTGTTAGAACAGACATTATAAACACACAGACACACACACACACACATACACACACACACACACACACAGAGAGAGAGAGAGAGAGAGAGAGAAAACAGTAAGTGTTGGCAAGGATATGGAGAAATGGGAACCCTTGTACACTGCTGGTGGAAATGTGAAATGGTGCAAGCGCTAGGGAAAACAATACAGAGAATCCCCCAAAATTAAAAATAGAACTATTATATGAATTATAATGGCATTTGTGGGATTTATCCAAAATAATGGAAAACAGGATCTCGAAGAGGTATTTGCATTCCCATATTCACTGCAGCATTATTCACAATAGCCAAGAGGTAGAATCAACCAAAATGTCAATCAGCGGATGAATGGATAAAGAAAATGCAGTTTATACATATGATGGAATATTATTTAGCCCTTAAAAAAGGAAAGAAATCTTGTCATATGCTATAACATGGATGAACCTTGAGACTATAAGCTAAGTGAAATAAGCCAGTCACAGAAGGACAAATATTTCATGATTCCAGTTATATGGAGGCATCTGAAGTAGTGAAACTCACAGAAGGAGAGTAGAATGGTGGCTGTCAGGGGCTTGGGGGTAGGGGAAAATGGGGAGTTGCTGTCAATGGATATAGAGTTCCAGTTTTGCAAAATGAAAATGTTCTAGAGATCTGCTGTATGACAATGTGCATATCATTAATAAAACTGTACTGTACCCTTAAAAATTTGTAAACAGGGTAGATTTCATGTTATGTGATTTTTCTCACAATTAAAATTTTTTTCATATATTACCTACATAACAAGTTCATTGTCTTTCGGCTTCTCAGTGTGGAGCAACAATCGCAAGGAACATCTTTCCAACTGTATTTGCTCTCCTAACAGATCTTTTAAAAATCAGTTGGAAGAACAACAGATAACCCTACAAGCACCTTTGACCTCGCAATTGGGGTGTTATTTACACGGACAAAAATCAAAAGCAAATTTCACGAAATCATTTGTAATTGTTTTCATTCTTTACAAACTGTATCATTCTCTTCTTCCACGAGTAACATGAAAAGCAAATAAGGAAGTTATTTTACAGAGATAATTAAGCTGGTGATGTTTTTCTTCCTTGGGGGAAAAGAAAAAGATAAAGGTTTCATATTCTGAAACTGTTTCTTCAGGGATGGTAACATTTCAACATCTTTATGGAAATGTCAAGGTACTCCTTACACTGGGTACCAAAGAACCTAAATTGGACTGTTTGAATAAAAAGGCATTCCTTCCAAAAGAGAAGGCTTCTGTGAAAATGAAGCTGCCACCCCCTGCTAGTAATTAATTCGGGCAAACAAATTAGCTCAGGGCAGTATGCCCAGGGTCTAGGAAAATTAGGCTAGTCCATAGAACTTTTTTAAATAAAACAAAAGATCAGAAGGGTGAAATCAGAGTGGCCCTTTCCAGGGCACCGATCTTCATCACCACCACTCCCATCTTTGCATGACTTGCTCCTGAATATTCGACTCCAATATTCCTTAAATTGACAGAACACAGTGATCAACTGGACGTAAGGAGTGAGAGTGGTCAAGATGGCCACCATGTTTAGGCCGAGTGAATGGATGATGTCGCCATTAACACAACCAAAGGAATATCAGGTTTTTCAGAAAGTTGACCAGTTGGATTTTGTTTAACTTAGGGCTCACTTAGGGAGGTCCGGGTGGCAGCTAGAAAAATAGACTTAAATAGTGTAGAAACAGCATCTTGGGAATTTGTGGCCCTGAAGTGGTGCTGAAGTTTCATCAAAGAAAAACTTTGGAGAAGAAAAAAGAAGGGATCGAGATCAGATCAACATGGATGGGCAGGTGGCGAAGAAACCAGATCAGGACACTGGCTAGGGATAAGGCAAAGGAGAGGAGGAAAGGCCAAGGAGAGCAATGTCATGGGAGCCAGGGGAGGGAAGGAAATCAAGGAGGGCTGCTCAAAGGCTCTAAAGACTGAAAAATGACAGCTGGATTAGAAGATTAGAAAGTCACTGGAGGGGCGCCTGGGTGACTCAGTCAGTTAAGCGTCTGCCTTTGGCTCAGGTCATGATCTCAGGGTCCTGGGATCGAGCTCTGAATCAGGCTCTGCGCTCAGTGGAGAGTCTGCTTGTCCCTCTGCCCCTCCTCTGCTTGGGCTCTCTCTCTCTCAAATAAGTGAATAAAATCTTTATTAAAAAATCATAACTCTAAATGGGAGGTAAACTGCCCTTTAGAGGTTGTTTTGAAAGTTGGGGGGAGGGGAGGGATTGCTTTTCACACTGATTGGAGGACTCGACTGGAATTTAGTGGGTAGAGGCCAGAGATATTAACCATCTTGTAATGTCTAGGATACCCCTGCACAACCAAGGATGCCCTAGCATCCCTCATGACTTCTGTCTGTCCCATCAGAAATTCATGGAAGTGAAAACCCTGTTCGTAACCTTTCAGGCCTAGAACCTAATAGCTTTACATGTACATTTGCATTTATAGTTTTTAAGATATGCTGAGTCTTCCTGGAATGTAACTACTGGGTAAATCAAGAGAAGATTGTACCATGAGTTGTTCACCACTTTGGAAAATCACTTCACAAGAGCAATAGCTCTTGAAGAGCTTAAATCACCAACAAAGCACACCAGTATCAGTAAACAAAACAAAACAAGGCAAAAATCCCTGCTTCAGATAATTTTCTGA